TTATTTAATAACAACATACTTAGAAGAAGCATATCATTACAACACAATTGACATATTCAATAACGAAGCAATGAACAGCTACAAATAAGGTTTGAGAGAAAAATTAGTCATCTAATTGCCTACAAACAGCTTCCATGTCTCTCTGTAGGGCAACTTTAATAAAGTTTAAAAAAGATGTCTCTAAGTTATTTGTAAAGACTGTAGGAACAAAGGAATGGAAAATAGCACCATATTAGCAAACACAATTTGGTCTTCCATTCAAATGGAAGTATGAAGCTTCATAACATAGTTAGCACCATGGATTAGTCTATGAAATCACTCAGCTTGCTACCCTAAAAATTATTACAGAACTAACTAGAATAACTCAAATAAGTATAAGCAGATTCATTTGTTCATTTGTTATAATGTCAGCTGTGGTCACTCAAGGATTGTATAACTAGCAATTTTTAGCCAAATCGCTAATAAATAAGGGATACAACTTACAAGCTGCTCTGATTTTACACCATATAACTGGATGGTCTTTGCCACATTTCTTGACACAGCTAATGTGAGGTTTGCATCAACAGCAGCTACATTGAGTTCACTAGAGAAAACCAAAACAGATTTCAATTATTAGCAACAGAATTCATCAACAAAGCAATGAGCATCATATAACTCAAAACCTAATAAGCAAAGAGCCGAATCTTTACATAGAATTTGCTGATTGCTTTCAAGAATTGGCTGCAATGTTTCACTTTTCTCTCTAAATTCAGCATTAGGAAGTAGGGCTTTGAGAAGGCCTTGTTAATGATCAGTTTCTCATTAATAAAAGCATGCCATGTGTCGGTTCAGTCCGTGATTAAGAGAGTAAATTGTGTACAGATTTTTAAAGTAGCACTCTTGCTAATACTGATAAGTGCAATTAGAGGCATTGCCTATCACAGACATCTGCAAAGAAATGACAGCCCTTGAATGGAAATGATGACCTTGGAGGGATATAGGCTAAAAATATAAATTACACATGACATATAAGGATACTTGGGTTCTATATAAACTATGCCAGTTCATGCTATTTTGTATAGAGTAACTTTAAGTATAAGAACAGCATAACAATTTTTAAAATATATATTCTTAAAGTCTTTGTCATGCTTACTGTCAACATTAACAGTGAATTAATTAGGACATGATATCTGACTACAAGAGAGGGACAGGGCATTTTCCCAAAACACAATGAAAAGAACAGCAAGAGTTAAAAAAAATTATGTGAAAACACATGCAGATGAAAAGAAATTTATTATCTCTTAACTAGATGGAATCTTGGCACTTCCCAGATTACTTCCTTAAAGAAACTGAAGGAATTAAAATAACACTGGTGTTTAGTATTTATGGAAAAATGCCCTTTCATGTAGTACTGTTCACTTTTAAATTCTATTAAACACTGACATACACATGCATCTTCAAACTACAGGTGATATTTGACTATAACTGTCACACTGCCTAGCGGAATGAAAGACAGAACTTCCTCGCATTTAGAGAAAGAAACCAGGAGAACAGATCAAGTTGAATCTAGGACTTTCTCCATCACAAGCACACTAAATGGAAATATTAGGGTCAAGGCTTTATCAAGTCAAAGTACATGGGGAGAGGCATAGAACCAAAACCATAGGCAGCTGATGCACTCACTGTACAGGTAATTTCACAGCTGAAGAATTGCTCGCACATATTAGACCTCTGGCTTCTGTGTCAGAACTATGACCTTCAAAACTATGGTCTGAAAGAATTTAAGCAACCCTACCCCTTGGTTCTATATTACCCAGACACTACATTCAATCTCCCAAATGTCCATTTTGAATGTACATTCTTACTATTAGGACAAGCTGCTAGCTCTGGCAGGAACTGGAGTGCTGAACTGTAAACTGCTTTGGATACTCCTGGAGCCACAGCATAATCGCATGGTCTGCAGCATTTGGATAGCATTTCTGTTGGGATACCTTCCCTTTTTAGTTTAAAAGTTGTCACATTCATTTAGAAAGCTTAAAATAGCAAATACAAGTGGGTTAATAAGAATTATAATTCTGTTTCTCTAAGAAAGTATTTCCTGGGTTGAGGATAAAAAAAAAAAATCCAACATTTATGCATGCTTCAGTTTCTCAATTTGTATAATTATTTTTATACTTGCTTTTCCATGTACTACTAAGGAAGTTAATAGAATATGAAGAGCTAGGTTTAGTTTCATCTTGGCTAAGCTACCAAATAATTACAACAGATGATTTGTAGACCACATTTAAATGACTTTATTAATTGAAAACTCAAGTACTATGTGAGTGCTCATTCACTATAAAACTCTTCATTTAATTGCAAACCTAATTACCTGAATAATTTGAGGTAAATTTAAAATGTACCAGCACTAACAAACATGGCAGGCATCTTCTGGCATGCAATTAGACGATACATACCTTGCTATGGTTTTAATGATGCCATCAAGTTCCTCAGAGGATGGAGGATTACGCCCACCAGGGGGAAAAACCAAGTTGATGGGATCAAAGAGTCGAGATAGGGATTTTGAGAGATAAGCAGCCTCATAGGGTTGTAGTGAATCTTTTAAAGCCTTTTCTGGACTGTGGAAACAAAAAAAAATTTAAGTTAAATTATAGCTATAAACTGGAGCTCTAAATACCTTTAAAATATATCACCTATGAAAATGTAACAATTAAAAGAAAAAAGAATTTGTTTTAAAAAATATAACAAGGCTTATATCTTTTAATTATTCCTTTAATTGCTATCAAATATCTACTAACAATATTTACCTGTGCTTTACTCTCATGATTAATTTCCTATCTTTCAATAGCTCCTGTTTCCAAACCTTCCACCAGCCTTTCAAATGTCTTCATTTTTTAAAAAAGTAAATTCTTCCAGGCGTGGTGGCTCATGCCTTTAATCCCAGTACTGGGGAGGCAGAGGCAGGCAGATCCTCTGTGAGTTCGAGGCCAGCCTGGTCTACACAGTGAGTTCCAGGACAGCTGGGGCTACAGAGAGACCCTGTCCCAAAAAGACCAAAAAAAAAAGTAAATTCCCCTTCGTCTTACACGCCAACCTTGACAGCATCTTACTGCTCTTTTTATGTGATACTTTTTTGTTACCTTTCTAGTCAACTGACAAGCCTAGTGGTCAGGATGCTCTTGGCTCCTACAGTAGTATTCCATATTTATCTTTAAAAAAAATAATTTATTGAGAATTTCATACATGCATGTAAGGTATTTTGATCAAATCCATGCCCACTCCCTCCCCTCCGACTCCTCTCATATCTCCCCATCACTTTTTTCTGATAACTTCATGTACCCTCCTCCTCCTCCCCCTCCCCGCTCCTTCTCCTTTTGTGGGGCTTTTGCTACTCTAACATCCCCCCCCTGAAGAGGTAACCCTAAAATCTTTTAAGGATTAGATAAAAGCTCCCAACTATTTTGACATTTTTGGCCTTTGGAACAGAGCATATTGCTAAGAGGCCCAAGGATAATTTGACTTTGAGCCAAGAAACTGGCTACTTTTCTATGGGGTCTTTTTCCCCTAACTGCCTAGCCAATTCCTACCTCCTATTCTTAGCACGCCATCCTCTGAAAAGGTTACCCAACTTATGGACAGGGAATCAGGACACAGACCGCTCTGGCTTCTTCCATGCTGAACAGGGCCGCACTGTGAGGCAATTGGGGTACCCCTTCAGTGGATCTATCTAAAAGACTCCCAAATTGCATAATTCTTATCTGAAGAGAAAACCCACAGAATGGGAAAAAAATCTTCACCAGTGATACATCTGACAGAGGTTTAACATCCATAATTATCTCTTAATGCATTCTCATTCGCTATTTCACTCAACACATATTTACTGGCCATAGGCACCAAACATTCTGATAAGTGGTGGGAAGATAAAAGATTGAGAATACAGTCTAGTGAAAAATGAACAGGTGAAACACAAGTTATGATAATTTCTATAATAGATGAAAACAGAAAGACACAAGGCAGCAGGGAGGACAAGCAGCTAAATCTACTGAGGTCCATGCCATGTATTTAAGTGCCTCTTCTCTCTGTTCTTGTTATCTATTGACCTTATGAGGCCTTTACTCACTTCTGCAGAAATTCTAGCCCTGAATAGAAGCACTCACACACTTCTTGCTCTCCAAATCAGCCACACAGATCCTTAGTGACTACAGTACCAAAACAGACAACTTTTCTTAGGGCTGGAGAGATGGCTCAGCAGTTAAGAGCACTGGCTACTCTTGCAGAGGACCCAGGTTTGGTTCTCAGCACCCACATGATAGATAACAACACTTCCCAACTCCAGTTCCAGAGGATCTAATGTTCTCTTCTGGCCTCTGCAGGCATGGTACTTACATGGTACACCTGTATACATGCAGATAAAACACTCAAACACACAAAATAAAAATAAATATTAAAAAATTAAATACAACTTTTCTAAAGCCTGCCCTGCTTTAGAAGAGTGTCTTTATAATTGCCTTTATTTTAGCTTTCTTACAGAGCTTCCAAGTTTGAGTAATCACTGTGAATCATTTCACCTGTATCATTGTTGAGTTAAAGGCAATTTCTACATGTTCCATCTTTTCCTATCTTTTTGCAATCCACAAATATTAGTAAGTCTTTACAACCTACCAAGTATTTCCTGCATGTGAAAATATAGCAATACACTTGGTTAAAAAATAGTGAGTTAGGCTCAGGCAAGTGGATCTCTGTGAGTTCAAGGCCAGCCTTGTCTGGTCTACACAGAAAGTTCCAGGCCAGCTGGGGCTACAGGGAAACCCTGTTTCAAAACAACAACAACAACAACAAAAAAGTTACCTTGGGAAGTTTTTTTTTTATTTATTTTTTAGTTTTTTCATCTTTTTGAGACCGAGTGACCCAGTAGCTCCAACTGGCCTGGAACTCACTATGTAGACCAGACTGGCCTCGAAGTCACAGAGATCCGCCTGCCTCTGCCTCCCAAGTGTTGGGACTAAAAGCATACCAGGCTAGTCTTGGAAAGTTTATAAGCTAAATACATAATATGCATGAGCTTAATACATAATATGACAGAAAATCAAGAAGGGCAGAAGACAGATTTGTCTTTTTTTTTCATCAATTTTAGGTAAGATGTGGCTAGGGAAGGTTTACTGAGGCCTGAGGGAAAGGAGATAGCAAGTGACATGGATTTTCATAATAAGAGATTTCCATGAGAAGAGAACAAAGTTCTGCAGAAGAACCATACCTGGCTATGCTCACTGCCCAGCAGTCAAAGGAGCAGAGCATGGAGTAATGAACAGTACAAGGTAACAAAACCCCAGACAACCCAAATCATATTGGGCCTACTTACCCATAAGGGTGGTAGTCTTCTCTAAAGAACTGCTTTGATCTTACTGTGATTAGGGCTGTATGCCCTTTCCCTAGCAGCATCCTACACTCGTCTAGTAGGTCTTACATCCTTCCTTCATGGCCATTCAGCCCAAGAAGATATCACAAGCATCCAGACTTGAAAAATTCATCTTCCTTTTAAAGACCTCGGTAAGATGATATCTGCAACTAACTGCAAGCTGCCCAAGTATCAGAAAGAAAAAGCAAGGCACTTCCATTAACCATTTCTAGAACCCTTTCAGTAACAAGAGGCCTGAAGCCCAACCTCAAATTCTACTATTGTAGGTGTTTACTCTCACATGACTGTGCCTCTAGCTTACACCAGATCAAAAATGGTGCATGGTGGCGCACGCCTTTAATCCCAGCACTCAGGAGTCAGAGGCAGGCAGATCTCTGTGAGTTCGAGGCCAGCCTGGTCTACATAGTGAGTTCCAGGACAGCTGGGGCAGAGAGGGAGACCCTGTCTCAAAAAGACCAAAAAAAAAATGGTGGCCACAGCTTTCCTCAACTGGACCTTCTATTTTGTTTTATATGCAATTTGATCTGTCTTCAGTGATTTCCATATTACTTTGATAAAAGAAGTAGCTTTACTTTTTAAAATACTGAAAGTTTTGAGAAAAATTAATCTCCTTTATTTTCCATTTTAAAAAACAGCTTAAATAAAATAAATTTACATATGATACAATTTCTTAAAGTCTACAACTCAATGGTGATGTTATAGTTACATACATGTACGAATACTAGTACAATCAATCAAACATGTTTTTCATCTCAGAAACCTTGCATCCTTTGACTATTCCTCTCACAACCAAAACACACACTCCATACTCAGCTGTGTGACCATTAAGCTACATCATGTTTCTGCAAATATTCCATATTCTCACATGAATGGTGTGTTTTACAATTCTTTTACTCAGCAAAATGTAATGTTTTCAGGGTTCACTTGTGTCATCAACACTTCATTGATGCATTTATCAGTATTTCATTCCCTTTTATGTGTAAACAATATTCCATTTATAGAGATGGCTCATTTTCATGTGTTCATTTAGCTATCAATGAACATTTGGGTACTTCTGCTTTTAGCTATAATGAATAATAGGGGTCTAAACATTTGTATACAAATTTCTATGTGAACATATGGTTTTATTTCTACTGGCTACAGACTTAGACTGAAAATGCTAGATGATGTGGAAGCTGCTTAATGGTTTCAGGAAATGCCAATCTGCTTTCCAAAGTCCTCTGTTATTTCAGATTTCCACCAGCAAAGTAAAAGGGCTCTCATTTCCCTACATCTTTACCCATACATTTTGTTATTTCGGTTTTATTATAAGCATCCCAGTGGGCATGAAGTACTCATTTCTTATGGGTCTGACATACTTGCCTTTCCTTGATGTTTACCCTCTTTTTATGTTCTTATTGGCCATCTGTCAATATTCTTTGCAGATGTCTATTTTGACCTTTTATCCACTTTAATTTGAAAATTTATCTTTTTATTATTGAATTTTGGAAGAGTTATATATTCCAGATACAAGACTGCTATTAGACATATGTATAAACATTTTCTACTGTTGTTGATCTTGATATACTCACATTTTTACTTTTGAGGCCGCCCCAAATTTTTTTTTTTGTCTTTCATTGCTTGGGCTTTTGGTATCATAGCTAAGAATATTTTACCAAATCTTAAGCCACAAAGATAAGCCCCTATGCTTTCCTCTAATAGTCATGTTTTATACTATACATTTAGATCTTTGATCCATTTTTAGCTCAGTTTTACTCATGGTGTCAGATAAAGTTCCAAATTCATGTTTTGCACCTGGCTATCAACTGTTTAAGTACTATTTGTCAAGGACTACTCCTTGCATATTGAATAGTTAATATACTCTGTTTGAAAACCAGATCAACGTAGACAAAGGGCTTCTTTCCGCACTCTAAATTCTGTCTGTCCTTGTGACAGTACCAAACTGTTATAATTTGAAAATGAAATGCCTCCCATGGGCTTATATGTTGAGGGTTCAGTTGTCAGCAATGGGCTTTGAAAAGCTGACTGAACCTGGGAGCTCTGGCCTACCAAGTGAATCAATCAATGCCTTGAAGGATTCACCATAGTGATAGCATTCCTGGAAGGTAGTACAAAGTTGTAGGTGGTGCCCAGATGGAAGAAGTAGGTCAATGGAAGCATGCCCTGAAAAGCTGTATCTTGTCTCCTGAACCTTTTCTTTGC